GAATGTGCATTCTTTGGGTATATGCCCAAAGAGGTAGACTGAGTCCCATTTTCCTGAGCAACCACTGTACTGATTTCCAAAGTGGCTGCACAAGTTTGCACTCCTCCAGCACAGAATGTCATTGGTGTTTTTGATTTAGCCATTCTGGGTAGTGTAAGATGGTATCTCGGAGTTGTTTTAGTTGCATTTCCCTAATTGTTAAGGATACTGAGTACTTTCTTAAGTCTCTTTCAGCCATTTTAGATTCCTTTATTGAGAACTCTCTATTTAGTTCTTTACCCCACTTTTTAATAGGATTGTTTGATGTTTTAGTGGCTAGTTTCTTGAGTTCCTTGTTTATTTTGGAAATCAGCCCTCTGTCTGATGTGGTAATGATAAAGTTCTTTTCCCATTCTGAGGGCTGCCATTTTGTCTTGTTGACTGTGTCCTTTGCCTTACAGAAGCCTCTCAGTTTCAGGAGGTTCCATTTATTAATTGTCAATCTCAATGTTTGTGCAAATGGCATTAAGTTCATGTATCAGTTTTGTGTAGCAGTTTGAACAAGGATACCTCCCACATTCTCTTCTAAGAGGTTCAGTGTGGCTGGACTCGTGTTGAGGTCTTTGATCCATTTGGACTTACATTTTGTGCATGGTGATAGACATGGATCTATTCGCATTCTTCTACATGCCAGCATCCAGTTATATCATCACGAATTGTTGAAGATGCTTCCTTTTTTCCATTGTATAATTTTAGCTTCTTTGTCAAAAACCAGGTTTTCGTAGTAAGCATATAATAATTAATATGTCACTGAAGCTTCTCTTTCTTTATAGAAACATCAAATTGAAAGGAATTTACATGTGGTCTCAGAACTATTTTGATAATTGCTGTTAACTATCCTTACATTTACTTTGGTGCATGGTTCATGGATCCAGTCTATCACAATGAGGAAGCTCTGGCCCTGGGTCCAGCTCTTGTCTGCAGCAGCGGGACTTGGGGCTGCTTGCTTCCATCTTGGCAGAACAGGAAGCAGGGATCTTGAGTAGAGAGAGGAAATAGTAAATAATCCTCAAGGCTCACACTGATGGCTCTAAATCCTAAGCTCTGCATCCCCAGACTCCATTATCTCTCCAAAAGCTCTGCCATCTGGGGACCAACTTTGAAAATCATGAGCCTGTGGCAGCCATTTTGGATTCAAACCATGATATGCAGTTATATTTGATATCGAGAAAAAAAAACTTCTGGTCTCCTGGGAAATATAATGTATCTGCCTCCTAGTTATTCATGAAAAAGCTGCAACATACAGATCTCTGTGAGTCTGAGAGTCTGAGACTACTTTGGTCTGTATAGCAAGCTCCAGTCTATAGGAAAAACAAATAACAAAGTGACACAGAAAAATCTTTCAAATTAGCTTACAGATTATACAAGAAACAACAATGGAAATTGAATTGCAAAAGTAAATAACAGTAAAATATGTACAAAAGTTGGAGAATGGACGAAATTGGTATAAAAATTAAAATACATCAGCTTTACCACATATTGTGAAGGCAGGCAGTGGATTTTTTTTTTTGGTTTTTCGAGACAGGGTTTCTTTGTATTGTTTTGGAGGCTGTCCTGGAACTCGCTCTGTGGACCAGGCTGGCCTCAAACTCACAGAGATCAGCCTGCCTCTGTTTCCCAAGTTGTAGGATTAAAGGTGTGTGCCACCAAAGCCTGGCGGCAGTGAATTTTTTAAGGCTCCCACTTAAAACCTTAAAGAACTATAGGATGTAATCAAAGGGAGCAGAATAAATAATATAATATAGCATAATATAATAATAGTTAAATGAAGAAATCAGTGAAACAGAAAAGCATCTGGTAAAAAGGCCAACTAGCAATAAAACATTCCTTTGACGTCAGTGGCTAAGGTGAAAGCATCTCTACTAGAATTTCCATCAGCACATGCATGGAGTTGGTATCTCAATTAAACAATTAAAGAAGCCCTCAGAAAATGGAAAGATCTCCCATGCTCTTGGATAGGTAGGATCAATATAGTAAAAATGGCAATCCTGCCAAAAGCAATCTACAGATTCAATGCTATCCCCATTAAAATCCCAGCACAATTCTTCACAGACCTTGAAAGAACAATAATCAATTTTGTATGGAAAAACAAAAGACCCAGGATAGCCAAAACAACCCTGTTCAACAAGGCAACGTCCGGAGGCATCACTATCCCTGACCTCAAGCTCTATTATAGAGCTATAGTCCTGAAAACAGTTTGGTATTGGCACAAAAATAGACAGGTAGACCAATGGAATCGAATTGAAAATCCGGGTATTAACCCACACACGTACGAACATCTGATCTTTGACAAAGAAGCTAAAAATATACAATGGAATAAAGAAAGCATCTTCAACAAATGGTGCTGGCATAATTGGAGACTGGCATGTAGAAAAATGCGGATCGATCCATGTTTATCGCCATGCACAAAACTTAAGTCCAAATGGATCAAAGACCTCAACATAAATCCAGCCACACTGAACCTCTTAGAAGAGAAAGTGGGTGGTACCCTTGAAAGAATTGGTACAGGAGACAGCTTCCTGAACATAACACCAGTAGCACAGACAGTGAGATCAACAATTAATAAATGGGACCTACTGAAACTGAGAAGCTTCTGTAAGGCAAAGGACACAGTCAGCAAGACAAAAAGGCAGCCCACAGAATGGGAAAAAATATTCACTAATCCCACATCTGACAGAGGGTTGATCTCCAAAATTTACAAAGAACTCAAGAAGCAAGTCTCCAAAACAGCAAAGGACCCAATTAAGAAGTGGGCTGCAGAACTAAATAGAGAGTTTTCAATAGAGGAGTCTAAAATGGCTGAGAGGCACTTGAGAAAGTGCTCAACATCCTTAGCCATCCGGGAAATGCAAATCAAAGCAACTCTGAGATACCATCTCACTCCTGTCAGAATGGCTAAAATCAAAAACACCAATGACAATTTATGCTGGAGAGGATGTGGTGAAAGGGGACACTCCTCCATTGCTGGTGGGAGTGCCAACTGGTTCAGCCACTTTGGAAAGCAGTATGGAGATTCCTCAGAAAAATGGGAATAAACCTACCACAAGACCCAGCAACTGCACTCTTAGGCATATATCCAAAAGATGCCCATTCATATAACAAAGATGTCTGTTCCACTATGTTCATAGCAGCTTTATTTGTAATAGCCAGAACTTGGAAGCAACCTAGATGTCCCTCACCGGAAGAATGGATAGAGAAAATGTGGTACATCTACACAATGGAGTACTATTCAGCAGAAAAAAATTATGGAATCATGAGATTCGCAGGCAAATGGATGACACTAGAAGAAACCATCCTGAGTGAGGTAACCCAGTCACAAAAAGAGAAACATGGCATGTACTCTCTCATATATGGATTTTAGACATAGATCTGGGGAGTGCCAGCCTACAATCCTATTGCCAGAGAGTCTGGGAAACAGAAACTTCATTTACTGGCTGGTTAAGTACTGAGCTGAACTCAAGAAAGCCAGTATCAGAGAGGGAGGACTGATGATCAAAGGGATTAAGACTGGGCTGGTTGAACCCCCAGAAACAGCTGACCTGACAAAGGTTAACTCGTGAATCCCAGGCATCAGCCTGGGAATCCAGCATGGGACTGATCAAGACCCCCCCGAATCTGGGTGTCAGTGAGGAGGCCTAGGTAATCTATTGAGCCTTGGACAGCAGATCAGTACCCATCCCAAGTATACACACGGACTTTGGACTCCCATTGAACAATGTGAGGTGCACTCTCACCCTGAACTCTTGGGGAAGGGTCTAGGCCCTGCCCTATATGAAATGACAGACTATGGACACCCCCATGGAGGGCCTCACCCTCCCTGGGGGAATGAGGGGATAACGGGGGGGGGATGGGGGGGAGGGCACGGGAGGAGGGGAGGGAAAGGGAGAGGGACCTCGTACTGACTTGTGAAGCAACCTTGTTTCTTATCTAAATTTAAAATGGAAAATAAAAAAAATATTAATAAAAAAAAAAGAACCAGCAAAAAAAAAAAAAGTAATAATTAAATGGGCTGAGGAACAAGCTCAGTTTGTGTAGTGCTTGCCACACATGCAGGAGGACCCAAGTTATGTTTACATAACCTATGTAAAACAAGCTCTCGAGGTCCCACGTGCTTATAATCCAAGCACTGGAAAGTGGATAAAGATGGATCCGTCGCTCACTGGTGAGTCAATCCAGCTTAATTAGTGGCCTATTCTATTCCACAAGTTTCTGCCTCAGAAATTCAAGGTGGATGGCACTTGAGGGGGGATGACACCTGAGGTCCCTCTACATGCAGACACACACACACACACACACACCCCTGACCTACATGAACATGCATACAAGGACAGCCACCTACACTAAATGAACAATTGCGTATACTGGTACTGGCCTAGGCTCTTCTAAATATAACCAAAAAATAAATCCTGCTTTCATTTAGGAAAGACTCTTTTGAATGACCCTATATTCTATAGCCAGAATTGCATTCCTGACGATGAATTTTTATATGCATTTGGAACAATGTATTATGTAGCATCCTTGGGAAAACTGGGAGCATGCTGAATCTATCATTTCCTGTGCGCATGAGGAATCTCAATGGAGAAGGAGAGGGTCATTTCACATGTACACTAGAATGAAGGTGTAAGAACATGTGTGTGTGAGGAGGAATTTCAGAAGTAAGAATGCAAGGTAGCTAAAGAAACTTGAATTGTAATCAAACACTGACTACGGAGACGAAGCAAATTTCCATTAAATGTTTATATTTTGCATTATTTGTTTGCATTGTTTATTTAAGCTTTTATTAATTCCTTTGCATATATGTTTGTCAGTGTGTATGCAGGTGTATAAGTGTGTCCAGAGTGACACACAAGTAAATGTGTGTGTGTGATCATGGAGGCCAAAGGGCAAGCGTGGGCGCTGATCAGTATTCATTGCCCACAATTATGTTTATTTGCTCTTTTGTTTGTTTGTTTGAGGTAGGCCTCTCACTGGCCTGGAATCTGTCACACGCTATAGGCCAGTCAGCCAGTGACTTCCTGGAATCTGCCTGTATCTTGTCTTCACAGTTGAAGAATGTGCACCACCACATCAGGCATTTTGAACTTGGATTGTCGGGGATCGAACTCAGGGCCTTGTGCTTGCAAGGTGAGCTTATCGCCTATTGAGTCATCTCTCTAACCAGCTGGAACATTGTTTGTTATACACCAAAACAATAACTGCCCCTAATAAGATCAAGGATGCCAACAATGATAGAAAGTCTATTTCACTCTATTGACAAGTGTCACTGAACTCAGAACTTCACATTTAAAACTTCACCAGAAAATTCACACACACACACAAAAATCAAATAAGCTTCATGTAGAATTTCAGGTTCTACATTCTTCTTCTAAAATTCAAAATTGAATGACATCAACATTTGGAATTTGTAGTGCTAATATGACATTAGGAGGGGATGTTCCACTGAGAGCAATCACATAAAAACAATTGCACAGTAAAACTACTGTTAAAATTACCTTCAGCATATGTGTGTAACAGGCATATAAAACATAATTGAATTCTGTGGTCAGAGATTGGTTTGATTCCTAGGGTAACTCATTGTATGTTTGCAAATATTCTAAAATCGGAGACAACAGTTAGAAATTTGAAACATTTCTCCTCTGGAATTTTAGATAAATTATATTCTGATTGCACTAACATTTTAATCACAGTTACCTCTGTCTTCTGAATTTGATGGCCCCGTGAGGCTCATCAGGCTGTTGAAAAGTTGATTTGTATTCTGGACACCTCTGAAGATGAGAAGTTTTCAAGTCTCCTGGTTAATGGGTAAGAATGCATGTGAATGTGATACACTCAACATCCAAAGAGGACAACTAGTGCTGAGTCAGACAATTTACCCATTACCTTGCAAGGAATATTTTCATATGTCTCAGGTTATTGGCTCTCAAGAAATTCTATTGGCATGAATATCCTTTAATTCTTTGGAAATGGCTATTCAGAGAGTGGGGTTGAGCAAATTTATTAAGCAATAACAGAAAATGATTGTACAGAACTTCAAAAACTAAGAAAACTTTACCTATAAAGAAAAGGATGATATGGGAAGTGAATTGATAAAAAGACATAAAGGAGGGAATGTAGATAGAGCAATCTTCTTACTAGGAGCAAGTGAAGGGTGGAGAGCCAGCTCAGTGACTAAAAGCACCTGCTTTTCTTCTAGGGGACCTGGGTTCAATTCCCAGCACCAACATGATGGGTCATAACCACCTGTAACTCCAGTTCCAAAGCATGTTACACCCTTTTGAGGTCTCTAAAGATAAATAAAAACGTTAATGCTTTCTCCCCTTTTCTCTCTTCTTACTATGATATTTCTAGATAGGAAAAATAAGATAAGGGAGAAAATAAATATTTATAAACAATAATCCCCCTCCCACAAAATAACTTTCTTGAAGTGAGATAAAGATCACAACAAAATTTTTATTTATTTATTTTTTAAGACAGTCTCTTGTACACAGCCTTGACTGGTGTGGCACTCACTATATATTCCAGAATTATCTCAAATCCCTGACAGTTCCTTCTTCAGCTGCCCAAGTGCCAGGATTGCAGGCATCTACAACCCACCAGGCTACAAAGAATCTTTTAATAAGTGCTCATGAATTAATGAGAAAATGCGTACAGACTGGGACACAACTGTTTTTAGAAAGTTCCCAATTCTAATGAAAGGCCTCAGAAACTTGACCATTCATGAACAGTTCATTCTGTTAAGAGATGAGAGGCAGGAGGCAGTGAGGCGAACACTTTACCATGTGCAAATAAAGGGTTTCAAGGTCACTTTTCTGCTACTTCAACAAACACTACTACTAAAAGCAACTTGTCAGAAGGGAAGGTTTATTTGGCTTCTGCTTGTGGGTCACAGTCCATCGCCGAAGGAAACCAGGGCAGGAACTGAAAAGGAAGCCAGAGGGGAACACTGTTTACTGGCTGGCTCCCTGCAGTCTCCCTGACTGGAGCTCAGCTAGGTTTCTTACACAGTACAGATACCCTGGACTAGGGCTGTGTCACCCAGAACAGGCTGCTCCCTCCTCCATCATTTAGAAATCAAGAAAATACCCACAAGACACACCCACAGACCAATCTGATGGAGGCAGTCCCCCAAGGGAGACTCCTTCAGATAACTCTGGGATGTTTCAAGCTGACAGCTGAAGATAACTAGGAGAGAGGGGATAAATGTAATCAAAATATATGCATGCAGAGACATGTCGTAACAAAGCCCTTACCCTGAACAATCAATGTATGCAAATGGAAATATCTTAAGGAAACTTTAAAAAATAACAAGTAAAGGTGAAATGAAGACAAAGTAGAGAGAATTCTTTCTTGCGTGAAGTTAATGAGTGGCTTCCCAAGAATGCTTTGTAACAAGAGTCAGTAGAGAGGTGACTTGAAGATGCTAGACCAGAAGAGCATCTCCTCATCTATTAGAAAGCTGTGAGGACCCCCTGTAGCCATTCTAAACAGATACAGAGAGCAATTATGAAGAACGAGAACAGAAGGCACATCCCTCAGAAACGAAGTACATACATTATGTACGCAGTAATCATGGTATAAATTGATGAGGATACTTGAGACCAAACTTAAAGCGAAGTAGGTGTAGCTGCTATTGTAAAAAGAGCAATCATGTGGGACTGACAGGAAAACAAAGTAAATTTCCATTCCGTGGAGATACCTAAGATAATTCTAAAGAGTGAAAATCTAAAAGGCACTTCAATAAATGTATCAGGCAGAAGTGAAACATATTAAAGTAGATTTTATCACACTGTTGTCAAAGTGAACAATAAGCCAAAAAACATGGAGTGAAATAGTAACGTAGTAGATGCTGAAAGTTGTAATATTCAAGGAAATTTAGCAACAAATATGAATGTTTATTCTTCCATAGCCTTACAACAACAAAAAGGCAGAAACTGGCTGAGATTTAAGAGGACATCAACAAGAAGGTTCAGTCACTACTGTCAACCTATGCAGATCAAAGGAACACCAATGTCACCTAAGAATGTCAAAGGCACAGACATCACCAGTCAATCTAGCTCCATGTTTGTGTTTATGGGTGCATGCATTTGTGTGCCATGTGTGCGATTATGTGTGCTCATTCATGAGTGCATTTGAGTATAAGAGTATGTGTGTGCATGTGCATGCGTGTGTTGGTGTGTGTATGAGAATGCATTCGTATGCAGGTGTATGAGTGTGCATGTGCACTTATTCAACAGTGCGTGTGTGTGTGTGTGAATGTGTACGAATCTGCTCATATCAAACTCTGTGAAAGAACATACTTCTCAGCTGTACATGTAATAATTACCACCACTGATCACAAAGAAAAGCTATTTTCCGTATAAAATAAAAGATACTACAATGATGATTTCTGATCACAATGCCTCAAAATTTGAAAAGAAGAGCATTAAGATGCCTATGTGAAAAGCTAAATTCTTTTTTTTTTTTTGGTTTTACAAGACAGGGCTTCTCTGTATTGTTTTGGAGGCTGTCAGTCCAGCCCGGCCTTGAACTCACAGAGATCCGCCTGCCTCTGCGTCCCGAGTGCTGGGATTAAAGGCGTGCACCACCACCGCCTGGCAAAAAGCTAAATTCTTAAAGAAAAAAACAATCCTGGTTGAGAGGAAAATGAAAACAGAACTTACAAACTGTTCGTAAGGAGTTTTAAATGTGACTTTAGTGGCCTTATTGTAAGTTGTAAAAGCAGTTCATAGATCATAACTTGTTTTGAAAGGTAGAAAAAAGTATTTCTTAAATTATTATTAATTTATATTCGTGTGTAAGTATATTTCAGCATTGTGTAGGTGTACATACATAGTTCCTAAGTGACTGCTGAATTTCGGCATTTTAGAGGAGGGAGCCAGATATGTAGCTACATAGCTGGACAACATAAATCTGAAGAACCTGTCCTTCATCTAGGACAGGTCATGTACCCGAGGAGGAACCATTGTGTCTACAGATAGTGTTTTTTTTTTAATTTGCCCTCTCAAAGATCACACCTTCTAACTTTCAGAAAGTCACTATAAGGTCTAGCGCTGTCCGTATGTATGTATGTATGTATGTATGTATGTATATGTGTGTTTGTGTTTCTGAGTTTGTGTGTGTGTGTGTGTGTGATTGTGCTGACTAGTTTTATGCCCACTTGTCATAATCTAGAGTTATTTGGGGAGAACAAACCTCAAATTGAGAAAATACCCCCAAAGGTTTGCCCAGAGGGTAAACTTATGGTACATTTCCTTGATCAAAAATGAATGTGGAAGGTACAGTTGTAAAGAGAAGCTTTTTCTTTGAGAGGAGCCTTCCTGCCAGCCTGGTTCTAGAGCCGCATCAGTCCCAAATAAACACACAGGAGGCTATTGGCCTTGCTTGTGTCTTACTGGCTAGCTCTGACTTAAGTAATTACCCCATAATTGTTAATCTAAGTATGTCTCTTACCGGAGAATAGTTCCAGGCTTCCTACCCCATGGCGGTTACATCTTGCCCTCCTTGTGTTTCCCCTACCCAGAGTCCTTCTGGACTCCTAGTCCCTCCTATCTAGATTCCCTATTGGCCAGACAGTGCTTTATTGACAAATGCACAGGACTTCCCCAACATACAGTCCACTGTGAGTGGTGGTATCTCTAGGCAGGCAGTCTTAAATGGTATAAAAAAGCAGGCTGAACAAAAATCATGGGGAGCAAACCTGTAAGCAATACTCCTCCATGGCCTCAGTATCAGTTCTTGCCTCTAGATGTCTACCCTACATGAGTTCCTGCTCTGACTTTCCTCAGTTATTATGTGTGACCTGATAGTCTAAGATAAAATAAACCCTTTACTCTTCAAGTTGCTTTTGCGTAGTGCTTTCTCACAGCAACAGAAATAATAAGGCAGTTACTACATAAATATATTTCTCATCATGAGTCATGTCTAATTAAAAAAAACTAATACTAGCAGTCCATCGCCTTAACCACTCGGCCACCTCGTCCGAGGATGGGGGAGATTGTGGGAGTGTGCGGGAGGAGGGGAGGGAGAGGGAACTGGGATGGACATATAAAACAAGCTATTTAAAATAAAAAAATAAATAAAAAGTAATAAAAATCTAATACTATATTATTACCTATTTTATACATTTTAAAACAGTAAAGGAAAATATAAAGCAAAGCTTATATTAAGGATTATAACACTGGAGAGAAAATAGACTTGAGGCAGGTATCTGCAGAACCTGAAACAGTTTCTTCAACAGTTGTCAATATCTGATTATAGATATTGGACAAAAAGCGTGGGTTAAACATGACCTCTCTGGAAATAGATATAGAGTTTAGCCTAATTACTTTTTAGGAATATCTATTTGTAAATAAAATGTGCTTGGCCTTTCTGGAAGATGGAAAGGGAGAAAATGACAAATAGTAAAGGGACACTGAACCCTGAACATGTTGACAACTGTACTCAAGTGCCTCGCATTTAACTGTCACAATCACTTAGGCAAAGGTCCTCATCAGCCTCACTCTGAACAAGAAGCTGCTGGGACATTCATGACCCGGACTAAGAGTTAGTCTTTGAGTTCCACCCAAACTTTCTGGCTTCAGCATCTGGATGTCACTGTTTATCCTCTACCCTCACTGTCAAACTTATTTAAAGGTAGTTCACTTTCATGTAAGTCCCTACAGCTTGTAAGGATTATTTTTTCAATTCTCTTAAGTAGATTTTCATGAAATATTTCTCAATATGTGGCACACTTCTAAATTATCCCACCAGGCTTTAAATATCACATAGTAGTTATTACACTCTTTACTCTTAAAAGTACAATGACTGGCTTATGTTAAAAATGTGACACGATAGTTAAAGAACCAATCACTTGAAGCCGCCCATCACTCACAATGTCAGTTGTCCTTGGGGTGTGACATCATCTCTGCCACCTTCACATTTCACAGGATTATAATTTCAGTAGAGTGAGTCTCGAAGAGGCCAAGGGAAGAGTGCTGAGACCTCATGATCTCATTTCAACACATATGCCAGCAAGTGATAAAAACAGGAGACGTGAAATAGAGAACTATCAGTTGATAAAGAAATAAAATTGTCTTTAAATGCTGTGTCGTTCAAAGTTTTCCGGGCTGCATTCCTGTCGACAAGGCAGCCATCCCTTCTTTAAAGACAGGGTCAGTCAAGGGCAGCCAGTCATTTATCTCTGAGGTGGCAGAAGTCTATAACTTAAGAGCACCCCACTTGAAAATGACAGCCATCCAGAGGCCCCTTTTATGATATCTCCCGCTTCCCAGCTGATAATA